CCCCAAAACCCCAAAACCCCAAAACCCCGAGATAGTGTTAGAGTGTTGAATGATTATGAGCAAAACTTGTCAATTATGTTTGAATGGTTAGAGATCAAATCCAACACGTCTGTCTTCGAGTAGTCGAAGTTGGTGAGGCCTGCCAGCCCCTTCAGCACCAGCGACATCAAGTCGTAGGCTCTGGCCGCTTCTTGCTCGGTCATGTACGAGTGGATGTAGGTCTTCCTGTCAAAGATGTCGATGAGGGCCTGCCACTTCGAGTGGTTCTTGAACACTCCGGTGAAGCGAGACCTTCTGGTGCTGGCTTGTCTGTTCAGAGAGCGGGCAACTTTGCGTCTCCCCCTCACAATAGTACGAGCTGGGTCATCAACAGCATCGAGTTGTCTGTGAAGGATGGCATATCTGGATCTGAGGAAGGCAGTTCTGTGCTCAGGTGAGACTCTGGGAGCTCTACGACTTCTAGTAGATCTGGGCACTTGAACACTGTCTTTAATTTCTTCTTGGTGATTCATTTGATTCAAACTTAAGAGTGTGCTGCTTTGATGCTCATAGCATGACAGTTCTAACCCACAGATGCAATATGTCTGCTCTAGCTGGGTGGGGTTAGTGATAAAACTTTGAGCTAGCAATACTGGCTTGGGAGTAAATAGCCCATCCTTTGTCAGAGTCTGCTTATTAATAACTAAAGGTAATTCGACATTATTATTCATCTTTATTAATTATTATATATTCTTCTGGCAGATTTTGGTCTTTAAGTAACTATCTGAGCTACTTGCCGACTCGAAGCTATCGTAACCTATGACCCAAGCTTCAATTAAAATTGCTTATGAAAAGGCAAATCACCGAAGCCAATGCATCAGTATTCTCATTGCCAAGAGCACAAGAGTTCTCGTTGCGCTATGGAGGTATATGGACGATAGATAGCCTTGTATTGCAATAGTTTGATTTTAAACTCCATACTCAGAGTCTTCTAAACATAAGTTTCAAAGCTGTATGGACAATAGAGAGCAGTCAAAATTTGAGCTATCAGACCTCTTTCCAGACTTCTTTCAGGCAAGCCTTAGTTATATTTAAAGCTTGAACATTTTGAATATTTCCTAAGTTCAAAGAAATATAGGAGCATTATGGCCACTCTCATATGTTACTAATCTGTACCAGCCAAGTCTTTGAGCTATGAAATATGGACTAGGTCTCCAGTTGCAAGTGCTATGAGGGAAGAACCCTAAATTTGTTTCCTGCACTAAAATAGAAAAATCAGTTCTATTGATGATGGCAACTTTTAAGAGAATCCTTAACCAAAGTTGGCAGAATTGGGTGACCAAACTGAGTTATGCAAGACTTCCTGTCTTGGTGATATGGGAGTCTCTGTATATTTCAAAGTTCCAGAAAGTGTAAGTTGAGAATATTATTAAGAAAAATTTAGTTAAAATACATTGGAAACATTATGTTAATTATTGATCAAAGACCTAAACTCGATTTATTAGCTTTACCTTGATGTCGAATCAATTTACAAGGTCTTTATGAACACAGAATTCTTTTCATGATAGACTCAAGAGCCTCTGAAAAAGACTAGGACTTCTTCAGTTCTATTCTAATTTCACCAACAAATGATTTCAGAGGTGATCGTAATTATTAATTTCATGACAGGAGATCTCCTTTACATTTAAAAGGCATGCCAGCCAGGGAATGAAAGCTATTGCTGTCAATTTTGCCAATAAAAGAGGTTGCTAGTCTATGCTAAAGAAGCGAGACATCGAGACTTAACTTAAAATCCAAAGCCTATATAAATGCTAACTTTTAAACTAGATTGGAAATGACGTCTCACGCTGTTATTTTGGATTTCAACTAGATGCTCTGATCTTAAAATTTCAAACTTCGAGTTAATGGTTCGGGAAAGAGAGTCCTAACGAGGAAGAAAGTGTGAGGTTCTTAAGAGTTGACTCTCTTCCAATAGCTCATTTCACATAATTTTTAAAGGGTTACAAGGAAAGCAAACATGCCAATTAGAACCATTTGTTTCATAATACTCATACTCAGTTCTGGACGCTCGTTTAGCCAGAAATTTGTGGATGATGCAGACACTAACAAGCTTTCAATTAAGCTGCGAGTTTCTGCCATTTATAAGAGAATTGTGCTAAATATTGAGCATAATGGTTAGCAGTATTATGAAATCCTTCATTTGTCTTTCAAGCTCACTGATATAACAGAAGCTAGGATCAAGGAGGCTCAAGCATTGGAGTCATCGATCATGCTAAATCTGGAGGACAAGCCCTTGAACTTGTTATGCCTTAACACAACACCAATAGATAACACTTTAGTGAGTTGATGCCTAAATTTTAAGAGAGTGATATGACTATTATATCAACTTCCCATCCGTCCAAATATAATTTTGGAAGAACTTCTGATATCTTCTGAAATTTAGTTTTCAGAGAGCCTGACCACCTCTAGAGTCTATGAATGTATTAGTAATAGGTGGAAGTCCTTCCTCAGCATAATAACAATTTTTAGCATGGACAATGAGGCCAGAGTGAGGTTATCACAAAAGTCAGTTAGCACTTTGTTCGATACTCACTGCTCGCCATCACTGTGAGAATACTTTTAGTGTTGCAAGCTGTCAAGGGGTTTGATTGCAAATATTGCGAGAATGTAGAGCCTCACAGATGTGTAATTTCTAGAGTTCGCCAAATGCATCATTGTATTTATATTTCAACAGCATCTTTGGCCATATGCTAAGAGACACTTATGATTACATTCTGCCCAAGTCTCTTGTAAAGAGAAGCCTTCACTTTATGACTGCTCTAGTTGCTTGGTACTCCTACAAAGTGCTGACCAAGCACACTGAGTGCATGTGTTCTTGATTAACATCAAGAAGCATTAACTTTAACTCATGGTTCCACAATTAATTTAAAGAGTGCAGAGTCTGAAAAGACGGAGATTAAACATTCTGAAGCAGCAACTATCAGAATCTGAGTGCCAGTGTTACTAAATTTTTCAAATCCACTTAATTTCTCTTGTTGTAAGAAATTATGAAATTTCATTGACTGCTCATTCACCCTATGAAAGCAGAGAAAATGAAAATTTGCAATTTTATGAATTAACAGACTTTTTCAAAATAGCTAGCTGAATGGGGTAAGCAAAGCCCCAGTTAGTATTTTGTAATATTGGATGAGACCTACTTCCCCTGAATATCGATAACTTTCGGTTTAACTTTAATGCCCACAGAAAGTTGATGAGCTCAATGAAGACGAGGGAAAGTGCTACTACAATGAGAAGATTACTCCTCATCAATTAAGCTGTATAGTTAAGATATGCTCATTCCTAGCAATAAGATAGCATGATGGGCCGATTTAACTTGAAGTCTTTAAATAGTATTTCTTGGTGACCCCAAAGAAGTTTACGTGATGACCCTAGTATTAAACAACTCGATGAAATAATGTAAGAGTAGGCCAGACCTTCACATTTTTATCTTTGTTTCTTATAAATTGCTGACTAAAGGCTTCGACTAATTATTGTTTTAAATTTCGAATCCTACATTTGTAAAACCTGGGTTTTATTGTACATATGAGTAAATCTGAGGCTTTAAGTAAGCTTCAAAAGTTTGCTTAACATTCTGGGAGCCAGGCAAAGATACCTTCCAGAATAAATAAGCCCTTTTCTGATTGTAAGTGATGTTCAGAATTGGGATAAATCCTCAAAATAACTCGAACATATTTTCAAACAAGGTAAGTTAAGGAGTTTTTTGTTGATTAAGTTTTAGGAAAACTCTTCACTTTAATACTGCCTGAGTACTCAATCTGTGTCAAAGAACATAATCATAGCTATCAGATTCCGCAGATAGCATATAGCTGAGGTTATAATGTTAGTTTTTCACCAACCAGAAGTCTTAAGCTTAAAGTGCTGCAGCTTTTTGTGCTATTTCAACTTTCTTCTGAATTCAAATTGACCCTCTAACTTGCTTAGAGAGTTATTACCAATGCCATGATAAAATATGAATGTTGAGAGTCCGTGCTTAATTCCATTTCTTCTGAATACATACAATATTTCAGGGTTTGAAAGCAATAAAATCTCTGTTAGCTTAATCAGAAGCTCTTTTTACTGCCTAGGCATTGGTTTACATGAATTTTCTATGCTTCTGATAAATCCCAGCCTTTTTTGCAGAGGCAGATAACCGAAATAAATCCACACAAGAGTGTTCCTTCATTATATTTTCTGGATATTCACAATCTTATAATTTATATTTGGGGTTTTGGGGTTTTGGGGTTTTGGGG